GGATGATGGGATGCCAATCACTAACATCCATCGACGTCTTGGACGATGGACAGAATTCTTCGAAGGGCAGTTCAACCGACCTGATGCCCCAGGAACATTGGTCAGACTGTCCTGCCCTCCATGGCCGGTGACGACTGATCCACCAAATGAGGCGGAAGTCCGCAAGGAACTCCAACTCTTGAAGCGTTACAAATCACCTGGCCCAGATGACTTACCTCCGGTTCTTTTTAAAGATGGTGGTGACCTTCTGATTAAGGAACTGACGACGTTGTTTACAAAGGTTTGGGAACTAGAGAGTGTACCAACGTCATGGAATGAGTCGATAGTTGTCCCTATCTTTAAAAAGGGTTCACGTCGTTCTTGTAACAACTATCGGGGGATAAGTTTACTTCCGATTGCGTCCAAGCTATTGGCTTACGTCATTCTTCGTAGGTTGTTCAAAACCCGAGAAAGATTGACTGGCGAGGAGCAGGCTGGTTTTCGTTCTGGTCGAGGATGTATTGATCATATCTTCACCCTCCGCCAAATGTTAGAACACCGCCATACTTATCAAAGGCCAACAATCGTAGTGTTTCTTGACATCAGGGCTGCCTTCGATTCGTTGGATAGGACTGTTCTCTGGGATTGTCTATTGAAGAAGGGTGTGCCTGAGAAGTTTATCAACATATTAAAAGCCCTGTATAAAAACACCTCAGGCAGAGTGAGGGCATACAACCACCTTTCTCCATTGTTCCATTCGAGTAGTGGGGTTAGGCAGGGTTGCCCAATCTCACCATTCCTCTTCAACTTTGCCATCGATGACATTCTGGAAACAGCTCTGATGAATGTAAGTAATGGTGGTGTGGATCTGTTGCCTGGAGAAAGACTTCTCGACCTTGAGTATGCGGACGATATTGTCTTACTGTGCGATAATGCCCAAGGCATGCAATCCGCACTTAATCAGTTGGCAATCAATGTCCGTAGGTATGGTATGTGCTTTGCACCTTCGAAGTGCAAAGTACTTCTACAAGACTGGCAGGATTCTAATCCTGTACTCACCCTGGACGGTGAGCAGATAGACGTAGTCGAGAAGTTCGTGTATCTGGGTAGCTGCATAAGTGCTGGTGGGGGTGTGAGTGATGAGATCAATGCACGAATAGTGAAAGCCAGAGCGGCTTATGCCAATCTGGGCCACCTTTGGCGCCTTCGTGATGTTAGTCTGGCTGTAAAAGGCCGGATCTACAACGCGTCGGTGAGAGCAGTTTTGCTCTATGCTTGTGAAACCTGGCCTCTCCGAGTTGAGGACGTTAGACGACTCTCTGTGTTCGATCATCGCTGTCTCCGAAGGATTGCTGACATTCAGTGGCAACACCATGTCAGTAATGCAGAGGTTCGGCATCGTGTGTTCGGGCACAGAGATGATAACTCAATTGGTGTCACCATCTTGAAACACCGACTTCGGTGGCTTGGACATGTTCTCCGAATGTCGTCCCAGAGAATTCCACGTCGTGCATTATTTGCCGACTCTGGGACTGGTTGGAAGAAGCGGAGAGATGGTCAGTGCATGACATGGTGTCGTGGCATGAAAGAAAGCTGCAAAGGACTGGCTTGTGTTGGTCCTTCACGACTCCCTGGCTGGGGTCCGAGAGATGGTGCTACACAGTGGCTAGAGACGTTGTCAGATATGGCTCAGAATAGAAGCCAGTGGCGATCCTGCTGTAACCTTCTTTTACTTTCTTCATAAAAAGTGGTTGTGTCTCCCTTACCTGAAAGATTTCTTCTGATTGTACCTCTTCGTCATTACTCTCTTTTTCTTTTGCGTTTCTTAGTTTTTTTTCTTTTTTTTCTTTCTACTTCTCTTCGAATTCCCATTGTTTTGTGTGGCGCATATATATTGGCGCTCTCTTGTACCAATATTTATGTGTTCAAATAAATAAAAATAAAATAAATAAACTTATAATAGAGTGCAAATACAATGGTAATTATTTAGTTAACATCCTGGACTGACCGTAGTTAAATAACCATTAAAATCCAAGAAGCATTGGATAGCTGTTTCTTCCCAGCATTCGACTTTTCAACTGTGTAGATCAAAACCCCGCACCTTCAGATCTCACAGCAAGCGCTTAACATTTTAGGTCACTTAGCCTATGTTCATTAATTTACATGTTTAACTTTAACTCGTGTCGCTCAACCACCTTATATTAATGGTGGTAAGGAAAACGAGTAATTGAATTGCTAGGTTTGAAGCGATTACGAGTTCACTTAGTCTGCGAACGGAAAAAAGACTTGTGACCAAAAGACCAATGAACTAGCTATTCTGTTGCGTCCCGGCTCCGCTAACTAGAGAGAGAAGTCAAAGTCCGAACGTGGAAGTATATTCCGCAAAAGATAACATTCCGCGTGATTTTCCGCTGACAGAGATGCAATTACCATGTTTTCCTCAGCCGCCAATCGATCATTACCGAGTCGTGAGAAAGCATTTGCCTGACCGAATTGTTAAGTGCGTCGGTATTGGATCTCGAAATCAGACCTCAAGAGTACCAAGGGTCATCGCTGAAGACGATTCGCAGAATGGGCTCCGGTTACACCCAGAGAAATGCTAGTTTTTATTGCAGTCAGTAAAGTATTTGGCGTTCATTTTTGACGCTGAAGGCCGCAGACCGGATTCCGAGAACATTCGAGCTATCAAACTGATTCCCACCCCCACTAATGTCTCGGCACTACGTTCCTTCATGGGACTTGTTACCCATTATGCAGCGTTCGTTCCTTCAATGCATGATATTCGCGCTTCATTGAATCGTCTGCTGGGGAAGAACAACACTTGGAGATGGACTAAAGAGTGCGGCGTTTTGTAAACTCAAGTCCGTAATTAACTCGGGATTGTTGTTAACGCACTACGGTCCATGCATGCCGATTATCGTAGCTACAGACTCTTCAGCGTATGACCTAGGTGTTGTTATTTCACATCAGTTTCCAGACGCGTCAGAAAAGGCTGTTTTGCATGCATCCCGTACACTAACCCCGGCAGAAAAGAAATACAGTCAGATAGAAAAAGAGGCTCTCGCACTTGTGTTTGCCGTTCGACGTTTCCACAAGTTTCTGTACAGTAGGAGATTTACGCTTCTCACGGATCACAATCCTCTGCTCGCAATATTCGGGTCCAAATCTGGCATTCCAGCCCATTCTGCAAATCGTCTTCAGCGATGACCCTTGGTACTCTTGAGGTTTGATTTCGAGATCCAATACGGACGCACTTAGCAATTCGGTCAGGCAGATGCTTCCTGACGACTCGGTAACGATCAATTGGCGACTGAGGAAAACATGGTAATTGCATCTCTGTCAGCGAAAGACCATGTGGAATGTTATCTGACAATCTCAATACGGGCATTGCCGGTGTCTGCAACAGACATCCGAAACGCTTCCAGGAACGACCCCATCATCAAGATAGCGATGAACTATGTCACCAACGGTTGGTCGTCTAAGAAGTTTGATGGGGACATGAAACAGTTGTATCAGCGGCGGGACTCACTATGCATTGTAAACGACTGTTTGGTGTTTGGAGAAAGAATGATTGTGCCGGAGCCCCTTCGCGCAAAAGTGCTGAAATAAAATTACAAAATTGGGACCTTTTTCAAGTGAGTTCTGGGGATCTAACGTCCCCAACATGAATGAAGTGGAGAGTGATGTAATAATTTAAAAGGAGAAATGAAATTACTAAGTAAACAATGGGAGTTTTTATATTTTCAAAAACAAACAAACAACGGCTTTTGTTCATTGAATATTATTCAGAGTAAGTTATCATACAATTTCGGTCTTTTTTGTAGTAAAAATGACTTTCGAATATACTATTTTTGTTCGAAAAGTTGCATTTTGATGGAATTACTATGTTGAAAGTTGAACTCTACAACCTGATGATAGGTTAAATATGTAACTCAATAACTAACATGCATTGCCTTATTTAAGTTGACTCAATATCTGATATCATTTGTTTGATTGCGAAAAATAGTGTTCCTAATTATCTCGGTACAGTTGTCTTAAACATATATTTGATGTACAAAAGTACTTGAACTGTCGAATACTTACAGCGAATCCAACTAGTCTTTGTTGTCAGGAGAATAATTAATATGTTTGCTGTAGTAAATGTCATCCTCACTAGCATGTTATGAAATATTACTAAACTCCAGTTTCAAGAATATAAATGTCTTAGAAACTGTTATCAATTTAGTATTTATATATTTCACAGTTAAATGCTTTGTCATAAATTTCGTCCGTTATCAAAGCTTTTATAATTTTGGAAGATTACAAATTAAATTTTCTTGTTGATATCTGTATGAAAGATTGGTAATTATTATCCTGTAATGAATATGCATTGAATATGTCGCTCTTTATTAAGTTGGATTAACCACTCTGTACAAATTATTTCCTAACTTTACATAACATTCTTCTCTAAACTACAGCTCACTGAACCAGTGATATTTAACATAAACGGAAATAAATAAAACAGAAAATCTGCGATTTATTTCATTTAAAGACTCTAATAATGTACTGCTTTTTGAGTTGATCGCATTATTAACAATTAAATCTGCTTTCTCTTGTATTGTGAACTGGGGATATTTTTACAAAATCTAGCATCAATGTAATCAACTTCATTCTGTGTATATAAATAGCAGATGATAATTGCGCTATAAAAAGAATCTGAGTCACTGTTTGATTTCCAAATTACCAATCAAATATTTTACTGGACGACTGAGACGAAATAAAAATATTTATTGAAGGAGATATAAATTAGAAGCTATCAAGTTTTCACCCCAATCCTCAGAATATATTTACGTTTTAATATTGTTAAAGTATATAGTATAAAAGTTCATACGTCACATACTATCATTGAAATCCTAGGCAATTTGATATGTCGTAGAGTTACTGGCTATATAGTTCATCATTTCTGTTTATGACATATTTTAGTTGTTAACATTAAATCTTTAGTAATTAAGGCATTATTTATAACTTTTGTTTTCCGTTAGGTTGCTAAAGCGAAAGAACGGAAGTTGAAAAATGAAACATGGCAAGATTCTGCTGATCGTTTCCTACTAGAATTAGATGGGAAGCGAGTATGTCATTCTGATGGGATTGAACCACCATGAATACTATTTGAATTCACTTTAATTTCCGAGTATACTTCTCAGCGAAATGCATAATAATAATAATGATAATATAGCTGAAACTAATTCGCCGACTTTTCAAAAGACCAATTCTTTTGATGTAAGTACTTTTTAAACTTCCACCAAGAATCTCTTTTTTGCCATGGATTTTAAATATCATTTTTCATCATTTGCTTTCGGGAATATTTTCTATTATGTCATAAAATCACTGCACATTTTAACTATTCTTATCTTATCTATTTAAGTTTACGAAATTCTTCAATCACCATCGTTTTTTTCTTGTAAACATTAGATCAGTTGTAACAGTGATTATCGTTAATATTCTTCGTTCATATATTTCTATGTGAATGTACAGAATGAGTAGACCATCCATGATAACTTTCTCTTTTTATTGAATTTGCTGATTTTGGCTGAGTACAATGAAATAGAGGAAGTCTCATTATTTATAGATTTTAAGTGGTTAAGAGGATATTCTCACAAAACCTTAAACCTAGATATACCACTAGATTGCAGTTATCAGCAAAGCAAATATACAATCTTGGGGGTAACAGGCACCAACTAGTGTCAGTTAGAGGTGGTAATTAGTCTTTGGAACCGAGAACTTTATAGTGATTGGTAACTTAGTGGTAAGCACATTGATTACCACTCAGTGTTGTCTTTATCTGACTATGCTTGTGTATCATAAGGAGTTGTTTAGGTCAATATTTTAGTTCACCATACAGTTTATTACTATAATATTTAGTTATTACAGTGAATAACTGATCTATTCTAGTTTATATCCATCGTCTCTAAGTTACTTAGTAACATGTTATCGAACTATATCTAGTGAAAATAACATTTTACAAACTTAACGGAAGTGTCACTGGAAAATCTATCAAACAAAATCCTCATATCACTAAAGCTAATAATAGGTCATATTCTGCAAAGAGAACTAGAGTATATATTCCGAATGTTACAAAGTCTGATTGGTAATACATTTGTCTCGAAAATTTGCATATTGTTCTATCCGAGTATCCCACTTTATGTAATCAGTCCCCTCATAACACCAAAGTGGGTTTATTCTCCCACCAATCACGATTCAGTTAATGTCATTTTTAGCGAACTTGTGTAACTCTGTACATCACTTACGGGATGAACAGTCCCCAAATTCGACAAGTCAATTTCTAGCTGCTGTGACTTTATGAGCCGCTTGTGTATCACGTAGTCTATCCGCCAATCAAAATACAACTTATTCGCCCTCATACTGTACTAAACCAATGACGTTCGACCGGTCTGATCAGCCTAGTGTTCTATTGGTCCGTTGCTCGCCTAGCCCGTCCAGCTGAGTCCAGAATGCCAATAACAGCCTCCACTAAGCGAATCATTTATTCCAGACATACTGGGTTTATATACCAAACAAACAGACCGCAACGTACTATAAAATGAAAAATAACACTCGCACAAAATATAGCCAAAAGTGGCTGTGAACGTGGGAGACAGTAATTAATAAACTGAGTATAACTTGAGAACAGTAAATCGTACAATAATAATCTCTAGGTCAAAATGAAGCTTATAATAAGGGGAATATAGTTATATACAATCTAGTTACTGAACAGTTATACCATAAGAATATATAGATAATATTAGTCCGTTAGTAGGTCTCAGATGCTACTGGAAATTAAATCTTCGCTAGGATATAATAATAGCCTCCTTTCTCAGCTTTCCGTCAACTAGTTGGCGTATACTTACATTTGAGTGGACATATCGCAAATGGATAATCCACTGTTCCTATCATTAAGTGATCGTTTGCTTGAGTAGACAAGCAACTTGTTATATTCTAACAAATTCACACCAATGGTGGACACTAAAATGTCTACAATAGCAGAAATCTAATGCGTAGTCTTAATTTGATCAACGATAGGACAAGTAAGCTTTTTCCCGTTTGTGGTGATGTTTTAGAGAAATTAGTGCTTTGCTACCGGTTATTTTCAGTGATATAAAAGATTAATCCATAGCACCATTGTTTCTTGGATGATTTTATCAAGTAAGGTGATTACCGAAACAACAAGCGAGCGAAAAGAAATCAAACGGTTTATACGAGTTCGTGATAAATATACTGAATATTAGATTCAGTGGTTTTCGTTTAGTTCTCAACCTATAAAAATGACCAAATTTGTCTTAGAACACTACATAACGTGCAAGTTCCAAAAATCTTCAGGCTGGAAATGTTCGATATTGTCTTCTGAAAGCAAAATAACTTTGACGGTCATATAGAAGCGTCATCAATGCGCTGAACATTTTTTTCTTTTTGCATACTAGATATCGGAGCACCATATTTGTGAAGATGTTAGTTCCTTTCAGAGACAACTGTAGTGTTTGTATGAACTGCATTATTTCAGGGATTCCTAGTTCGTATAATCATTCAAATACTTCTAATTGTCACAATAACTATAGAGGATCATATTCATGAAACTTCGGTCTTTTCTGTGTACATGATTGTACCGACCAACATTCAAATATTCGGTCTGAACGCAGAAAACAACTCAGCGAAGTCATAATTAGTCTTGATTATCCCAAACCACTGCGTCCTTACGTAAATGTTACGAAACTTCTCTGAGTCATCTTTCTGAAGTTCAAGAGCAGAAAAACAGGTGGTTAGAACATTTTGAAGAACTCTTGAATAAAGTCACCAAGTTCACAGGACATCAAAGCAGTGCATATCATAAGACCATTTTTGTTTGGTTTTGCGAATATTTGCTTCAAAGTCTCCACGTGTTAATTTTCGCGTTAAGATAACTCGTTATCTCTACTTAAGTGTAAAGTTAGAACTTTTTATGTCTTTCGCAAAATCCAGAAATCTCAGTAACACGAATAGACGTGAACCGGAAGAAAGACAGTGACGCATACATTTGTGCATATCAGGAGAAAGGTTGTTATATACTCCAGATTCTGTTTAGCATCGTAAAATACTGTACAAAGCAATGTATACTAGTGGTACTAAATAGATAAATATTGTTCCAAATAGAATAGACTATGGCTGAACTATATTCTCTTCAGCAGTTACAGCAAACGTCACAATAGCAAACTTGTAAGATCAAGTATAAATTGATTTAAATTTAAAAGGTTCCTGTCAACCCTGAAATAGTTTCCCGTCTAAGAAAGTGAAATTACCACTAATAAAATAGCTCCATATGTAGAATTCAACTATCTAAGATAATAAACTTTCCCAATAACTAGGAAATCGAATATCTATCCCAACGGGGATAGACTAATACAATTGGGTCGATCAGAAGGACCGTTGTGGTGGACCAAAAAGTATATTCACCGAAAAACGGCGATAAAGTTATTCCGCCCAAAAGTTAATGTAGCAACAAACAACGCATAGGATAATAACACAAACAAAAGTTTAGGGACGTTACTTAAATCAGCAGGTTGGCGCGTGTCTTGTTGATTTTGGTACCAGAATCACATCCACAAACATGATAGAACGGGAGACGTATGTATAAAAGTATATTTAATTATGAGCACTTAACAATGTCATGCTATGTGGGATTGAAAAACGGAAGGGAGAATATAAGTGTCCAAGGTCATATACTTAAACAACAAGTGCAATCGGTTAATGATAAATGTACAGATTGTGAGAATTGGCAAAATAAATGCAAAAGATATCAAAAACTATTCACAAAATAGGTTTATTAAGTCTATCTCCACATAGCTCCCCCCAGAGTGTCCGGAGGTAACACTAGGTTGTTAAACACAAAAACAAAGAACAATGCAAAAGTGGAGTACATGGCAGAAATATACAATGTGTTGATGTACTCCATCACAACAAAAAGGAATGAAAATATGGTCAGTAGATGGTTAGCTAATAGTAATACAGTACAAAACGGTTAATAACTCATAAAATGAAGATTGGATTGTTTATTTTTATGTACTGTTAATGAATAATTAACTACAGTTCACCCGTTTATTATTATGACAATTTTTCTTATTATTAAAAAAAATTGACAAAACAAGTGGTTGCGAAGAAATGTAATTAATTATATGTACATGTGAAGAAAAGAAATAGGTTTTGTTAGAAAATTGAGTACATTTAACATTGTAATATGTATCATTGAATGTTTATGATTTTATTAGTTTACAAAATGTACATAACGTTTAGGTTTCTTTATAAGTCTACCAGAACGTGTTAAACAGGAAGGTGTAGTGCTAAGTTTTTCATCCTCCTCATGTTTCGCAGTAATTGATGGGAGGGATTGTTTATTCGCAATGTTGTCTTCTTTGTCTTGAGAAGCTTTGTGGGAAGCTGGTTTTATTCTGTCTACAGAAATGGTCTCCTTGTTTCCGTTCCTGTTGATAATGGAGTATTTGGTGAACCTCGTATTTATTCTGACTGTTATATTGCTTATTTTCTTACACGACACACTGGTTCATTTTTCATGTAATGTCCTCTCCAACCAAACTTATTGATGTGGATCCTCCTCCAGTAACCACCTCTGGTTCAGTGTCAAACCCTACTGAAAACATTTTAAGCCCAGGTAATGCTATCTCTGGATTCAGACTCCCAACATACGGATCTAATAATCCAAGAATCTGGTTTGCGCAAATAGTAGCTTTATTCATGGCCAGAGGCATACGCTCACAAGCAAGAAAGTGCGCGCATGTTGTCGGTGCACTCCCCATTGAGATTGCTGCTGAGGTTGGGGACCTGATTGACCACGTGCCTGAGTCGGAACCATACGATAAGATAAAAGCAGCGGTAATTCAACGCACTTCAGTCTCAGATGAAAAGAGACTTCAACAATTGTTAACGTCTTGCGACCTGGGAGACAAGAGACCCTCCCAACTTCTTCGACACATGAAACAACTTGTGGGCCCATACAAACTGGATGAAGCCCTCCTAAAACAAGTGTGGTTTCAATGACTACCACATAACGTTAGACAAATTCTTAGTGTCTCGTGGAAATCGGTCACCCTAGATGATTTAGCCGACAGGGCGGACAAAATGATAGAAGTTTATCACCACGTGAACTCTGTGCAACCACCTGGAGCAGTGGATACCAGTTGCTTAGCCTTTTTTCAAAGGCAGTTAACACAACTAACAAATCAACTGGCGTCACCGCAGACAACAATAGCAACTGTTCAAACTGGGCAACAAAGATCCTCTTCTAGACGGAGATCTTTATTTCGGCAGCGTTCATGTTCTCCTAGACAAACAAACGAAGTTTGCTAGTATCATAATAAATAAGGCGCTGAAGCACGGCGTTGTACACGACCGTGCACATTTCTTTCGACTGGTACGGGAATCAGGGAAACGGCCCGGCCAGACAGTGCTGGCGGCACCTGTTTCTGCCCACTATCAAAGCCGTCCCTTTCACATCAGGGATCGAATTTCTGGCTCAGATTTTTTTGTCGATACCGGAGCCGAAATCATCATCTTTCCACT